GTGCTGAACAAATACACACAAATTTAAAATACTACAGTAACTGTAGTGTATTAGAAGTAAAAAAGTTAAGGTGGGTTGAGAAATATTTCAATAATTCTACACTACACGATACAGTAATTTCTGCAAGTTTTTTTTTTTTATTTCTTTTTTACAATCTGTATGTACATATAATACTTTTTTTTAAATAGACTATCATCAGAGCCGATTGCCTCGTGGGCTGCACTCCAACATGTAGCATGACCACGCTTTGGGTGACTCGAGCACCTTTCCCGATCCCTTCCCCCTCTCCATACCACTTCACTTCTTGTCTGTCTGTACTACCCTATTGCAACAAAGGCAAAAATGGCAAGCAAACACACACACACACACACATATATATATATATATATATATATATAAAATCAATATTCTATTTATTAAAGCCAAGCATGAATCTCATCAAGTTAGTGTTTTTAAGCATTTTACATTTATTCCAAAATATTATCTCAAGGCAGTAACAATTTTAAAAATATATTTTATTTGTGAACTAATGTTCAGCTATTCTTTAAAATAGTTAACTTTTAACTATTTGAATTTTTCAGATCATGAGTCATCGAAGCTCTGTAAATATTGGTCACAGACACAGATTTATTTTCCATTTCACCAAGCTGATTACTCACTAAAAACTCCCACAGATCACGTTTTCATGCCATTTTAAGTCTTATTTTGACGTAACAAATTGGTTATATTGTTATATTGTTCATTCAGAACATGCACAAATGCAAAATATGGGCTTTATCGCATGAACCAATCACAGACGAACACTCATATCCAATCATATCGCTATGGAGGCATTGCCTCTTCTCACGTGATTTTCCCCCATTCATTCTCATTTACCCCCCACGCTTTAATTGGTCTGTTAAAACTCAATGGGCTCAGGGGAGGCGAGAGAGACACGGACTCCCGCTGTTACTTTACCTGCTGGTGTCACTTTTGGACAGTGTTTCTTTAGAGAAATTAGTGATTTATATGCTTTTTAATGTTATTTTTTTAATATTGGTTTTATTTTTGTATTACACATTTTTTTCACATCTGATTTTTTTGAGGAGACACTGCCTCCCTTGCCTCCTCGGAGGAAACACCCCTGATGTATATACAGTATATATCACACATGTAGCAGTGCGATATGGCTGTATATCGGCAATCAGATTCAAGGATGAGAAAGAACTGTTGTCTGTGTGTGTGTGTGTGTGTGTGTGTGTGTGTGTGTGTGTATATATATATATGAATTGTTCCAATTTCTAATAGGTTTCATATAGGTTTTTACTTTATATGACCATATATTTCATATATGGATTGCATATGTATATGTATATTACATTTGCATCTGGCCTTTTCCCCTTTTAAATATAAATATAACCCTCACAGGAAACAAACCCAGAAAACCCTTAGATTTATTAGGGAGATACCTCAGGTGTACGAGTGTAAAGAGTAATACAATTAAATTACCAACATGAAATCACACTGGTTCATTATCAACCTTCTGAAGCAATTTAAACATGAATAATCCACTGATGTGCTTAAGTTGAATGTAAAACATTGGACAAGGTGCCTGCTTTTAGAAGAGCTGTACAAATGCTATAATAGACAGAATAAATTAGTATCACTTACCTTTTTGCTTAACTTCACTTCAGTAGATTGATCTCAGTAACTGAGTTGTATAAATGTTGTGGCTTCCTGATACTTTACCCTCTTAATGCTAATTGGTCTAGAGTGAGATAGGGAATGGCTCCGGTCTTTCAGTATCTCTCTGGTTATTCTCTGTGGCTGACTTGCACCTCCTTCTATTGACAGTGTGTTAATGTCTTACTCTTATTTTCACTTTCAACATCAGTAGCTGCAACATGTGATAGCAGATACAAGAATATTGGGTTGTTGTTTTTTTAGAATGTGCAACCACATACACACATTTAAATAAAGAGAAAAAAACATGAAGGGTTTTCCTTTGGATTAAACAATACAAATATTTGGGAATAGTACTTCATGATAAAATCAGTTTTGAAGCAAACACTGAGGTTATTATACTGAAAGCTCTTCAGCTTATATTTTTGGGGAAACTGTATTTTTAACATGGATGTCTCTTTTATGAAAATGTTTTCTACTTGTTTCATTGATTTTGTCTTACCTTTTTTCATTATTTGCTGGTATGGCAATCTTAATGTAAGAAATAAGGTTAACTTGAACAGTATGGTTAAGATGTGTAGCAGGATAGTGGGGACTAATTTAAGGACTATAACACAAATTTATGGAACAAGGATTACTAAGAAAGGCTGATTAGTCCTCTCCGAAGCTGAACACCCATTGTTTAATGAGTTTCAGCAGCTTCCGTCAGGTCAGAGTTACAAACTCCCCTTGTGTGAAACAAATGAATATGATTTATTATTATTATTTTTATTCCTTAAGTCATCATGTTTTTAAATAATTCATTACAATGCATGTCAGTATTGTGTTTTTATGTATGTATGTATGTATGTATGTGTACTTCTCACTACAAAACAAATAGCCTTTTTAAGGACTAAAGTTAAAGTTGAGTTGAGTTTTATGTGGGATACCATACTACACAGATTGGAATGGCATCTTGTCTTAGAAATGTTTTTTTTTTCTCCTTCTGATGAAGTTCTTTGTAAACTCCCAACAATGGCTGGCTGCACTTCCTCAAGGGTTATCAGACACCATGAAAAGAATAAGGAAAATATTATTGTTATTATTATTATGATGTTACCTTGAAAAAGCCAACTTGCTTATCTGCTATTTAAGCTTCTTCTTCTTCTGAGCCAAAATTTTGTCTGTATCTCCTAGAGCTTTAAAGCTACAACTAGCAAACTCGGGTCAGACCTTTAGACTGTTCTGAAGTTAGTTGCTATATCTTTTCTAACTGATCTGGCTTCTAGTTTTCATTAAATGGAGAATCAAAACTATGAAAAGTCCCATAGATTTTCAATGAGGGGGTCAAAACTTTTGTACTGTAAGACTTATAGGGTGTCTAAGCTGTCTATCACCAGCAAAGCTTAATGACTATCCTAGGACAACATGCTAAATCATGCTAAAAACATACTAAAACATGTTAGTAACGTGCTAATCATGCTAAAACATGCTAATTGTGTTAAAAAACATGCCAGCAACATGTTAATCATGCCATCTGCTCTGCTGTGGTGGTCTTCAGTCCCACCTGCTCCACCCTGGTGGTCCTCAGCTCCTCCCCGGCTTCCTGCTCTGCCAGCTCCACCCTGGCTTCTTATTCTGCCGGCTCTGATCTGGTGGTCTTCTGCTCCACCTTGGCTCTCTGTTCCGCCGCCTAGGAACTGATTGCATGCACACCTGTTTCCTGTCAGTGGACTATTTAAGCAGCACACAAACACATTCACTTTGCGAAGTCTTGTTCAACTGTTAGTGGGCACCACTTGTTTGTTTGCCTTGCCTTGTTGATACCTTGTCTCGTCTTGTCTTGTCTGTTTTTTGGAACTTGGACTGTTTCATTGTTTTTTAGTGATTGTTTGCTGGTGTTTGACCCTGCCTGTCTCGACCACGATCAGTTTAATAAAGCTTGCACTTGGATCCACAACCCCATTGTCAGACCCAGTCTGTTTACATCATGCTAGAAACATGTTAAAAGTGTTAAACATGTTAACATGTTAAAAATATGCTAGAAACATGATAACAACATGTTAATCATGCTAAAATATGCTACTCATGCTAAAAACGTGCTAAAAACTTACTAGCAGCATGGTAATCTGAGGCTTCCAGCTTCATTACCGTTTGGACGTTCTTGCTTACTGCTCTGCGCTTTGCTCCCTATTTCTGTACTTTTCTCAGATTTTTCTAAGATTTTTACTTCAGCAGATCAGCACAGTGCTCAAACAACACATTTTTGGTACAAACACTAAAACTAAAAACTCTTTGGGACTGGAATAATACCACGAAAAAGAAGACTTTGACTCCCACTGCCAGAAGCTTACATTCCGGAGAAGGAAAAACACAGCTGCCCACATTCAAACAGAAGAGAAAGAAAATGCCTCCTGTTGAATCTATTTGCTGCATGAACTGCTGCAAACTCCTACAAAGGATTGCGGTTCTTGAAACAAAGTTACTTGCTGGACTTCCAAAACAAGCAGAACACTCAGCAGACTGTCATCATGGACCCCCTCAGCATACAGCCGGTGAGTCCCATGAATCTAGTAAATCTCAACAGTTTATACCAAGTGTAGAGGAACAAGCCGAAACTGATCGTCACACAAACACGGAGCAAGACCCAAAGGCAGTTGAGACATCAGATTGTCACGAGTTTCTCATATTGCTGCCATAGCATCCTCTACCCCAGATTCAGCTATGACAAGGCTTGTGAATACTGGTATTCTACCACCCCCTATACATCTTGAGAACAGATTTGAAACATTAATGAATGCGGGTGAGGAATCCCCAAATGTAATTAAACATGGATCGGATCAGCCAGCAGCTAACATTGCTACTAACAGGCACTCAAGGTCGAGCAGACAGCGGCTTTCAGCTCAGAGCGCAGCCAAGCCCAGGACTCTGATAGTGAGCGACTCCATTATCAGAAACATTAGTAGCAGGACTACAACTACATGCTGCTTTCCTCAAGCAACAGTTTCTGATATGAACAAGGAACTTCGGAAAATTCTGATGAAGCACTTCAAATTGAATCATCATCCATGTGGGGAAGAATGATATTCGGAAAGAGCAGTCAGAACTCCTTAAGAAGGACTTCAGTGAACTCTTTGAAACACTTCAAAGACTCAAAGTTCAGTCATTCATCAGTGGACCACTCCCAGCAAGGGGAGCTAATATGTTTTCACGGTTGCTTGGGCTGAACACATGGCTACAAAGAATCTGCAGCTTAAAAGGAGTCAATTTCATCGAATTGAAATGTGTGCTGTGGTCAGATGAGTCCACATTTCAACTGGTTTCTGAGAAAAATGGACGTTGAGTTCTCAGTCCCAAAGACCAAAAGGACCATCCAGACTTCTACCAGCAACAGATGCAAAAGCAAACATCTGTCATGGTATATGGGTACAGCAGAGCAAATGGCATGGGTGACTGGAATATGTGCGAAGGTACCATTGACATGGAGGCATTTATTGAAATTGTACAGAGACATATGCCATCAAGATGACATCTTTCATGAGAAGTCCATGTTTATTAGATCAAGACAATGCCAGGTCTCATTCTGCATGTGCAACAGCGTGGTTTCATAAACACAGAGTAAATGTGCTAGATCAGTCCAGATCTGTCTCCTATTTAAAATGTATGACCAGTCATGAAAAGGAGAATCAACCAATGACGATCACAGACTGCTGAGCATCTGAAGTCTTGTATCAAGTGAGATTGCATGAAAATTTTGCTTGCAAAACTTTAACAATTAGTATCCTCAATTCCCAAACAATTACAAATTGTAATTAAAAGGAAAGTCGATGTGACACAGTGATAAATGTGCCTCTGTCCCAACTTTTTTGAAGTGTGTTTCATAGACAGTGAATGTGTTTGATCAGTCCAGTCTGTCTCCTGTTGAACATGTATGACCAGTCATGAAAAGGAGAATCAGACAACGACGATCACAGACTGCTGAGCAGCTGAAGTCTTTAACAATTAGTATCCTCAATTCCCAAACAATGAAACACTGTAATTAAAAGGAAAGTTGATGTGACAGTGTTAAACATGCCTCTGTCCTAACTTTTTTTGAGTGTGTTGCAGCCATCAAAATCAAAATTTGTTTATATTTACAAAATACAATTAAGTTGGCCAGTGAAAACATTGGAAATTTTTTCTTTGTACTTCAGTCAATTAAATAAGGTTAAAGAGAATAAACAAATAACATATTGTTGATTTTATGGCATTTCACAAAATATCCAAACTTTTCTGGAATTGGGGTTGTAATTACTATCAGACTTTCAAAATCCTTCATTACTTGAATTAAGATTATAATAATTTTACTTTAAAGCACAGCCACCACAAAATCAGACTTACTTTGAGATCATTCTGAGGTTAAATACAGATTTAAAATCATAACAAGAAATAGTTTTCTTGACTAAGAAACCAAGATGGCACCGCAGACGGCCGCCTCAGTGTTTGGCTCTCCAGTTTTTGTACTGTTTTTGTTAGTTTTTCATGTTTTTTTGTTTCTCAAACATGATCAGATTTACCAGGGATGAAGTGCTGAACATTCAGCAGTACACACCACACAATCTTTTACCAGATTTCGTCTATTCGGACGTTTTGCTGAACATAGTAGTTGGCGGAGCTAACTAGTTAGTAGTCGCTGATCAAACGCTTTAGGACGTGCAAGCATGGGAAGCGAGCCGGCGCGCTCGTGAAGCTCAGACAGCGCTGATTTCGAACGACGCTGCCTAGCATTCATCTGTCGAATCTCCGCTCTCTACCCAACAAAACGGACGAACTTCTTCTTCTCTCCCGGACAAATAAGGATTTTTCACACTCTGCTGCTATGTGTTTCATGGAAACCTGTCTAAATGATGCCACGCCGGACAGCGCGTTAAATCTGCCGAACTTCCAGCTGTTCAGAGCGGATCGCGACGCAGAATCAACGGGGAAATCATGTGGTGGCGGGACATGTTTCTACATCAGTGAAAGGTGGTGTACAGATGTAACAGTGTTAAAGAAGATGTGCTGTTCCGATCTAGAAGCGCTCTTCATTAACTGTAAGCCGTTCTATTCGCCGTGGGAGTTTCACTCGTTCATTCTCGTGAGTGTTTACATTCCA